GAGGCGATAGTCGACCCTGGACACTGTCGCAATAGCTAGTGGGTGGTCCCCGATTACGCCACGGATTAACGTGCAGCTATTATCGTTTATGACCTCCCTAAGGGGCTCGTTTAGCTTGTGCAAGCGGTGCAATAAATGTCGTGCTTAATTGATTCGATGTCAAGCGGTTAAGATGCAACTTTTATCTTATTACAGATTTCAGAAAGGCGGGATAAACTTGTGCATTCAAAGAAGGCGAATAATAAGGTTGGTAAAAAGTAAACATGTAAAAAACAAAAAAAACGTTTACATCAATTATTAATTTTGGCGCAACATTTTACCTCTAAAAGCTGTGATACACGGTCAAGTTCCTCAAGCAAAGCTTTGACCCAAAAATTGAAATCAAGTACTTCGGTTTTCAACTACCAGAGGAGAACACCACATATTTCATAGACCCATTTATAATTAACATATTTTTTTGCAAGGAGTGCTAGGGAATTACTTTACTGTCTTTTAATTTACTTCAAGTGTTGTGATCAGGGTTCTTTGTTGTTCGGGTTAAAAAATCAATCAAGAATGATTGATTCTATAAATTCAATTAGATGCATGGGGTATTCAGTTAAGTACAAAACACCGCGGGTTCGATTCCGATACCATTCCTACCCAAAGATTCATAGAGAGGTGAGCTACCCCTTTGTCTTACACCATAGCGCCTGGTCTTCCAGGTTGGAGGTTGGGCATAGAGCTAACATGTATCGCGATCGTGAAAATTTTCGAATCTGAGTTTAAACGGAAATACATGTTTCGAGGTATTTTGAGTTCAAATACCACAGAATAGTGCGTGTGGCTTGTGTTACAAAAAAGTTATAAATGTAAACAAAAAAATTGGCACAATTCTCAGCAAAAAGAAGGAAATTAAATATTTGTGATTTTTTTAAAGTGAGTAAAGTTATTTATTGAATAGCAGATTACTTTATTTTAAACGTAAATATTAGGATTGGAAACATTTATTTGGTGATTTATAAATACGGATCAACATCTATTATCTATTATTAAAAAAATAAAATTTTATCACTTTAGATGATAAATACACTAAACACCATTATTTTTAACATTTTTTAAATATAAATAAAAAGTGTACTTGTGCATTTATATTTATTATAATATATCACAGATCATGGAAAACAAAATTAAAGCTTTTGATTAGTAGTAATAATTTTTACTGAAAATATGGTTACTTTTAGAAGAAAGAATATAAAATCAAGTAATTTTTTTAAATAACTTAGAGGTGAATCTCAAAATTTTCCCAAATAAACTTCAACTTAATTATTACAAATGATATGTCTATACTAGGAGATCTTTTCCAACGCCTTGGAGGGTTATCAGGAATTGAAGAGGAAGCAAGGTTAGAAACGAGAGGGTTGGGATGGTTCTGAAGTTTATTATGCAAGGATAGGTATCTGAATTAGGCCAGATCTGAAACAAAAGAAACATTAAGGTCATCATGGATGGTTTTATTTGTAACAAAGTAGGGAGCATTGAGGATTTTACGAAGGATTTTGGATTGTAAGGATTGGATACGATAGGAATTCGATTGTTTCGTGGAGCCCCATTGCTCAACTCCGTAAGTCCAAATAGGTCTTATTGTAGTCATGTATATGAGTCTTTTGTAATTAATTGGAAGTTTAGAGCGTTTGTCTAGTAAGTGCTGAAGTAATCGGAAACGTCGAGCGGTTTCTTGTTCTTTCAGTCTAGTATGACGAAATATTTAAATTATAAACAGAATATAACGAAACGCAGAGTAACACTGAAAATAATACAAAATAAAATTGGCGAGGTATAGAGCATGTTTTGATGAATGATATATTTCCTAAACTCAAGGGGATCTGATATAGTATAATTTCAAGATGTTAGATCAATTTGGTCCCAATACCTAACTTTTGCAATACAACACTTTGCCAGGCAACCTGATAAAATGAATATTACGAATTCGAGTTCCGGAGCTGGATGCATTGATTCTTGCTATCCTCCCTTGCCCGAAAAAACAACAACAACAACACATAGCGAAAAAGACGAAGACAAAAAAAATTGTTAATGCAAATAATTACGATGTTTGAAATATCCGTACCAGATGGTCAGAAAGTAGAACAAAGCCTGCAGAATGAGGAAAACATTGGAAGAATGGATGAGAAAATGCATTCTGAAGATCCGTTATACAAGCCGACGTCACTGAAATTTCAGACGGTGTAAAGCAGGTTAATAAGCTTACATTGTGGTGTCTCACTATTTAAGGTTAGCATTGATCAAGTTTACATACTAGGATTAAGGACCATCGTCTGGTTGTAGTGAAAGAATTATATAAAATAAAAAAATTATGTAGGATATCAAAATAAATAAAATTTAGCACTTATTGTAGATATACGCTTGACTCTTGGGGTTAAAATAGAAGTTGTGTTTACTTTTCCAATTGATGAAATGTTGTTATAACATTCATGACAATATTGAGGTTATTAATACCTAGTTATTGTTAGGCATATCATGTTTTAATTATTTATCATAAAAAAACGTCTAGTAGCCTAAAGATTAATATATTTCTTTAAAGTTTGATAAAGAGTCTTACGAAATAATTTACGTTAATTATAAACGTCAAATAAAGTTTTCAGGCAGATATGGTTGTTTCAAAGATCTATAATCATTAATAGTCTGTGACGTTCATGAGAAATACGTTTTTATAAAATTTGATGTAAGTTACAAAAATGATTATTTCAAATAATGTTTAGAGTCATTTTGAAGTGGAAACGAAGGAATTTATCAGATTTTTGATAAGTTAGTCCGAGTTAGAGAGCTACGAATATATATATATATATATATATATATATATATTTTTTTTTTAACATCATTTATTCACTCACCCCTGTCATAAGCAATGACAATTAGCGGGTCTGCTGTCGGTAAGTGTACAGGTAGTGGCTTGATCGGCGTGATGGAGAGGAGTGCCCAGCGGCACTCTTTTCTGTCTTGATTTTAGCATATTTTTAAGCGAGGAAATCCCTTATCCAGCTCCTTTGGAGACTCCTAAGTGTGTTTTCGGGGGCGTTAAATGTAGCCATACTTTGTATAAGTTTGTTAGTATGTCCATATAAGTTATTGTGGAATCGCTTGTAGTGTGTCCGTATGTGGTGGTTAACTGTTGGCATTTGAAGGTCTTTATGTAATGTAATGTTTGTGACGTACCATAGAGCTTTGGTTATGGTTCTGAAAGTTTTAGACTCAAAAGTTTGTAGTTTTCGTATGTGGGTCGTTTTGGCTATTCCGTAAATTTGTGAAGCGTAGGTCCATATGGGCTTAAGTAGATAATTGTAAGTGTTCAGTTTTTGTTTTAAGTTTAATTTTGAGCGCCTTGAGAGAAGTGAGTATAACAGTCGTAGTCTGAGGTTTAATGTTTTTCTTTTTTTGTTGATATATGGGCCCCATGTCATTCTTCTGTCGAATGTCAGTCCAAGATATTTTATTTTATCTGTTTGAGGAATTTCGGCATTGTCAAGGTAAATAGGAGGGCATGTTCCATGTCGAAGAGTGAAAGTGATGTGTTGTGATTTGTGTTGGTTGAGTTTTTTCCAATTTTTCGAATTTTCCAGAGTTTGCACCGATCGTTTAGTTTTGTTAGACGATGTTGTAAAGTCTTTGAATATTTGAAACCGTAGAACATCCTATGGCTTGAATAAAAAATGAAAACATTGTAATTTATTAACATAAATGTATTTTATAGATACGAGAATGGTTCTAGATAGCTGAAATGGCGAACAAAAATAAATACAAATAAAATTTTATTGGTGAGCGTTGGCCTCTGACCCTAATGAAAAACTATCATGGCTCCAAAGCTATGGAAAACGATTTAAGTTACTGATCACCTACATCCACTTGACCCTTCTATTATAAAGCATATGTTGAATAAAATGAATTTAATTTTTAAATATATTTTTATATGTTGCATAATCGTTATGTGTAATCCCAAACACACATTATCTAAAGAAGAGTTAGTCCTTTCACCAGAGAGAATAACTCGATTTCACACTCGACAAATATTCAGAAGTAAGTTTGGCCAAACATGTACTTTTCGAGTAGGACCAGCATTATCTTAGGTATTTATCATTTAAGTATTAGTTTTGAATCGCTACTCAAAGATGGCACCTGTTTTTTAAAGATCACTTCCAATACAATGTAAATGAAATTCTGAGGAATGGCAATTATAACCGATTATTGACAATAATTTTCATTTACAAATGATAGACATGTCCTAACAACTTATGTTTAGCTAAAGCCCAGTTTAGACATTTCAAAAACACCAGAAACACAAAATACAGGGAGCAGACACATTTATACATTTCCAGAGAAACAAACATGGCGGACGTTAGGAATCATATTTGACATAACCTATTATAGTATAATTAAGAAAAATGAAATAAGGCATACAATTCCTCAGAAGAGATGGTGGATGAAAAAATTTCATTTAAATCGTACCAGGAACTATTAAATTCAACAACACTAACAGTAAAAAAATGTCGAAAAGCGACACTAGCGCTTACTCAAACTCCTTTTGTTTTATCTTGAAAAACTGAAAGCAAATAGAACGGGCACAAACAAGAAACAAATACATTAGCAAAGAGAAAAAAAAAAACGATTTAGACATTTGTGTTTCCCATTTTTTGTGAAATATCTATACATACCTTAAAATGCACATTTTTTTTTTAGTTTATATTTTTCATGAGGGAGATAAAGGCACTCAATTACAGCAATTATATGATGTAGAATATGGAGAATTGCACACGACATATGAATTTAATTTTGAAAGCAGCAAAGTTTCAATCGAATCAGTTATTTAATTCCAGGCTTCATAATTATAGGTTGTGCACAATAATCCAAAATAATACATTGACTCTTGATTATCTTTGTTCGAAGCCATAAAAAAGATGGCCATAAATAAGTATAATGGCCATAAGAGATGAAACCTCACAAACACATGTTTAATGACTCAGCTGTTTTTTCCAAAAAAAAAAAGATTTAAAATCCTCAGTGGTTGCAAAAACCTTTCCAAAATTATTTACTCTTCTAATCCTTGATTCAAAGTATACAACCATAGTCAAAAATTGAGTCAAACGAAGAATATGATATAAAAGAAAAAAAATTTAAAACATTGTAAAAGTTTCGAAAATTAAATTAGAAGAAATATTTAGATGAATCATAGTAATACATTTTTTTTAACAAGATATACGTTGGACACTAAACCATGATATACTGAAACTCATATGAAAATTGGCATATTTTATTAAAATCGATATATTTTAAGAAATCTCAGAATACATTTAAAACCTCAGGGAAATATATAAAAGGCAGGTATAGTATTTTTGAAAATCAATAATGTAATGCTTAACTATTCAATAATCATAAAAAATATATATTAATGATAATTTACAAACAAAAAATAAATTGAAATATTAATAGTCATTATCCTTCCGATGAATTGTTAACAGAGAGAAGTTTTTGATCAGAATATCCGATTCCGTGTTTTATTATAGGTATGATATATCAGATATAATTATTTAGACAGTTGTTATGTATATACAGTTGTATATGTTATTTACTTGTAATTACTATTTTGTTTTATAGACTTTTCCTCTTCTAAAATAAAAAAAAAACATATGAAGAAAGGCATACCATGGTAATCAACCATTACCATGAATTATCTTAATTAGTTTAATTATTTTTTCAATTGTCTTGATTAGATATCGAAGTTAGCTATTCCATCCATGTCAGGTGTGAAATATATTTATTTTCTTCTTAAAATGAAGGTTTGCGTCTATACATAGACAAATACCAGTTGATTTTTAGAGAAATGGGTAGTCTACAACTATTATCTTTTTACATTTACGAAAAGATAATTACTTACGGAAATTTTACTACATATTTAAATTGTATTATGAATTAATAAATAAGTGATTGACAAACGGCATATCTGTTACGTTCTTAAAGGCTTGAATCAAACTTGCATTCAGGAGTATTAATACACAGCCGGCCTTATAATACTTTATTTTTTACAAGTTATTATAAAAAAATAAACATAATAATCACGTTTTAGTAGTTCAGATATTCATAAAAGTGTATCGATGCTGAGGTATCAAATGACGTCACTAAAACAACTAACTCAAGTTAAATACATCATTTCAGATTCAAGGTATTAGCTCTTTGGAACAGTAAACATTGTGAGCCTTCTGGAGATTCCTTCGATTTTGAGTGGTTTTCATTTTTTCTTTTTAAAATGAAGTGTAACAAGTGTTTTTGGAAGACTTTTACTTCAAGAACTACAATAAAGAGATTTGTTAGCACCGAACCAAGCGTGAGTAACAAAGCATTATTACAATTGTAAGTAGATTATGGACTAATATTGTCCTCGTTGTAACCTTATTTCATTTCTTGTAAAAATTTGAGCCTAATTAATTTGTTGTTTTCCATATCAAATGTTATTTGTGTTTTTGTTCGGTTACATGATTTAAAAAAAAATATTTTCACGCTGTGTATTTCTTTTGGTATGATCAAACAATGCTGAAATGAATCATTTATGAAGTTTCCAGTTATTTTCCTAATTTTAAGCCAAAGTGCTGAAGTTATTTTCTAAAGTTTTGAACTTATTTTAGTAACTTCATTTTATTCCAGTTCCTTCCATGGAAAACATACCATAGCTTTCTACGGTTTTCATTCAAATTATTTTATTTTACTGTTTTTATTTGGTTTAAATTTATCCTCTCCCCCCTCCGAAAAAAAAATCATTTTATTATAATTCCCTTTTTCATTACTGTACTAGTATCTCCTGAGGTTGGGTTTGAGTCCGGCTGTTGCATATTATTATTTAATTAGTTACAACAACCGTGCGCCTACCGTTGAACACATCCACCTTATTTACATGGTTATATAGGGTTATATACAGGGTGTCGTAAGTATAGAAATTTTAATAGGGGTGATAAAAGATCTCAAGATCTACAAAAAAGTTCCTATAAACAATGGGCCGATTTTCAACAGAAAAGTAGGAAATCCAAGTTTAGTGTTTTTTTTAAGTCATGTATTTTGTTGAATAGGAAGAGATAGCTAAAGGAATATTAAATTTAAGTAATTAACAATTACTTTAATGTAAACTAGATGAAATTTACTTTAATAGTTTAGGGAGTTTGTCATTATCAAAACCATTCAAAGAGGACATTTGAGCGACTAAACTAATTTAAGGTCTATTTAAAAAAAAAAAAAAATATTCGCGATTTTTTTTCAGATCATCATCCAACTAAACTACAGTTACCCCACTTTTATAAAAACTACCTCGTTTAATAAGATTTAAGTTTATATAAATTAAATTGAGGTTTTTAAGGCAAAAAAATGAGATTCACCACAAGTTGTGTAAAGAAATGTGATTTTCTATCCAGTCTAAAGTGCCCGTGTTTTCCGCAAAAATGAGTACAATTAACTGTTGCGAAGCTTTAATTTCTTGTTTTCCATGATCTGAGATGTGTTGTAATAAATATAATTGCCTAAATACATATTTTATTTATTAAAATAAAAAAATTTAAAATGACGATATTTTAAATATTTTCCATGTAAAATGGTTATGAAATTGTATTTTTTTTTTTTAAATTTCTGTCATAAGAAATGATCCGTGTTTATCAGTGTCAAATATAATGTTTTTATTCCTAAAATTGACTTTCAAAATAAGTAAACCTACTGATTGCTTAAATTATTTTCATGAAAACGTAAATATTAGGGCTAGAAACATGTCAGTTTTAAATATGGATAAACTTCTATGACAGAGATCTGGAATAAAAACACAATTACATAACCACTTTACATGAAAAATATTTTTAAAATCGTTGTTTTTATTATTTTGTTTTAATAAAATATATATTTATATTATTACCATCCGTCTGAAACTGCGTAAATAGCCTAATCCCATAGTAACCTACAACTATTACATTTACGAAAATTCTTGGAATTGGGGCGTTTGACTGTATCATTGTTATAGTCCGCGGTACAGACCCCTTTTTATCGAATTATTAACAACCTCCTCAAACTTCGTAAATAGTTTCATCACATCGTAACCTACAACTATTACATTTACGAAAATTCTTGGAATTGGGGTGTTTTCAATCTGGAGGAGCCACACTTTGTCTATTTAATTTGGTACTAAAAATCGTAAATACACATTTGATTTCTTCTTGGATTCTAAGATAATTTGATCACAAAGTCGAGAAAAAAGGTGGCCTTCAAAAATATTGAGCCGTTTGGCGTGAGTGACCTACACAACCAAATTTTTAAAATAACGAGGTTATATAGGAAAAACATCCCAATATTTTTGTAGGCCACCTTTTTTGTCGATTTTGTGATCAATTTATATTATGATCCAAGTAGAAAGCAAATGGGTATTTACACTTTTTTAGTAACTGATTAAATAGACAAAGCTGGCCTCCCTTCGGATTGAAAACGCCCTAATTCCAAAAGTTTTCGTAAATAAAATAGTTGTAGGTTACGATGAGATGAAACTATTTACGAAGTTTCAGGAGGTTGTTAATAATTCGATAAAAAGGGGTCTGTACCACGGACTAAAACAATGATACAGTTAGTTTTCGTATACTTAATATTTTCTTCCTCTTTAAAGATATTGCATTTACTATTCTACTACACTTTTTTCCTGATATATTAACTTTATTATTTTGTAAAGGTATCTGTTTGTTCTTAAATTTTATTTTTTTGTTTTTAATAATTAAGAAAATTCCATGATTAAGGCTTTATTTTGTCTTTATTACGTTTATTATATTTCCATTCAGCTTTTAAAAATAGGTCCTAGAAAAGAAATTTGTACACATATTTTGGTCTATTATGTTAAATGCTATATTGTAATCGACCAAGAAAAAAATATTGATTCCTTCCTTACATAATACATAGGATCTACTTATTTCCATATTGTTTTGCAATTTCTTCACTAAACAAAATTTTCTGAGAATTATTCACCGTGCGCCAACTAGTTGTTTATATTGTAAATGATATTAGTTTGAGAATGTGGAACAAAAAAAATGTATATTTCGTTTTATTAATCCCGCCTTGTTGATGTTTCACTTCTATCGTGTGGTCTTAAGCACTTTTTTGTTTTGTTTTTTTCTTTGATAAAGATACCCTAAAGGATTTTTTTTACATTTTGTTCTACCTATACATATTTAATTTATCCACATTTACTGAGAAATTCCAGTTTTCTCTGGCTATCAACGTTTATCAAAATTTAGTAAATGTGATCTCATTTTAGTTATTTTAATTTTAGGAGCCAGGGATAGGGAGGCTCGAAAAAAGTTTGCATTTGGGGGGGGGGCAGCCAACCTTAAAATATAATTCTTAAGAAAAAAAAAATCAAAATTGTGTTTTAGAAAATGTTTTCTCACTTCAAGTATAAGATATATTTATATTTATTTTGTTATTTTTAGTATATGTTTGAATGTTTTTGCCTTTATCTCCCAGGTGAGTGACAAACTTCGAAAAAATGAGATCTTCAAGAAGTACGAATCGGGTTTCGCCATCAGCCACCTCTACGCTAACAAGGTCGGAGCGCACACTCCTATTCAGGAGACCTGGGCTGAAGCGCGGAGCCTGCACAACAAGGGTATGTGTAATATATAGTAAGGGAAAGAATTGCGATCGTGAAAATTTTAGAATCTGAGTTTTCAACCGAAATACACGTTTTGAGGTACCCTGAGTCCAAATAACCAAGTCCGGCAAAATTGTCTGTGTGTGTGTATGTTAGCAATCTAGCTCAAAAACGAAAAGTCGTACAAAACTTATATTATGTATATAAGATAGGTATATGCCTTAGATGTGACAGCATTCTTTCTTAAAATCGGCTAACCAGAAGTGACACATTATATCAACGCTGAAACACATTTTTTTTTAATTTTCTCAATAACGAGTCTAACGATTTTGATTAAACTCGGTGTATCATTTTATAATTAAGTGGTCTTTAATATTAATAAGGTCTTATAACCATTGATGTCACTTTACAAAACTTAAATGCACAATGTTCATATACGTCTACCTCTAAAGTACTTTTAATATGGTTTATTTTAAATAATTATCATCTCAAATTATTAAGAGTTACGAAAAAAATGCTAGATATAAAGCTTTTAAAAGAATTTGATAATTGATTATGAGAGAAAAAAGAAAATTACACATCGAGGCCGAAAATTAATACCGGGAAATAATAGTCAGAATGTATACGTATAGTACATATTGGAAAGCGGAGAATTAATAAAAAGACAATATCTAATATAGAAAATTGTAGAAGTTAACAGAGAGTGGCGAAAAAAATATAAATAATAATTTCTAAAAACTGTCATTATTTAACGCAAATCACGTGTTTTCAAGGAACTTAAATGTAATTTTCTCAATAAATGTAAACTTTTAACATTATTTTTTTTAAGTTTGAAAAAGTATTTAAAATCAACGGATTCAAGGCTATGACATTGTTTAAGATACTATTTCATTTTACTTGTGTGAAAGAAGAAGTGAAACATAAAAATATATCATGGATATGTTTATAACCTTAAATATATTAAATATATTTACTGTAGTTTAATAGGTGTTATTAAACTACAGTAATCTAGAGAGATCTGATATTATATTTAAATAATTAGGTATCTATCGTCCGTTTATTCCGAAAAATCATCATGTAACATTTTAGAACATTTAATTAATGAATAATTTGATGAATTTTGCCTTTGTGATATTCCAATAATGTCCACTTCCAGTGAGTGTGACAACTTCTTACCTGTCTATGATATACAATGAAAATCTCTTAATTCCATTTTAGTAAACTTTGTTATGGAAAATAATAGTTTAATAACTAATAATCGTAAAATCCATAATCAACGGATAGTACAACCCGTAATCAACGGGTGATTTAATAAATAGGACTTTTGTTATTTTAATGGTATTTATGATTTGTTAGCTCTAAGCTTTTAGTTTTAGCTCGGTTAAAAATGCAATTCAAAAGTTTTATACTAGACCAACATGGCCAGAAAATAATTTCTATTCAAATTTGGGCAGTACGTGAAAGTTGTGTGTTGCGCGCACCAGATGTTTTAAATAATGAACCATTTTAATCGACCAAGAAAAACAAAAAGTTGACCTACTCTCCCACACAAAAATTGCCTGTCTGCCGTCCGCGGCTTTCCTTCGAAACTCACGGCCGATTGTTTTCAAATTTGGTTTCAAAATGAGAGGTCACTCGAGGATGATCCTCCAAACTAGAACTACCACCCACCCATCGTTTCAGAATGGAGACTGAAATAACTGTGCCGCAATAGACTGCACCGTCGAAACAGTTGTAAAAATTTTAATGGTACTTGTCTAAACTCTTGGCCTTCCCAACTATATTATTTTTAGTCAACTATTCCCACATCATCAATTTGAAATTGACTTTAGTAGAGCGAAGATAAAATTGCAGTTTTGCGATTTGGTTTTAACGATTTCTTATTGAATTTACGGTTTCAGATATAATGTTTGGGGTCTTCGATGGTAACAGTGGTTCTGCTTGCTCTCATGTCGTAGCTAAGCGCCTTTTCGCTTATCTGCAAGCATCACTACTTCCCAAGAGGTTCCTTGAGGAGTGCATCAATTCCATGGCGAAATATGATCAGAAGATCAAGTTCCTAGACTCTTTCCAGGACAGATACTTCTTCTTACAAGATTATCAGAACGTATACGAGGACAGCTACAGAGCCTTCATAAAGGAGCTGGCGGAAGAAGAGCCGATGGACTTGGAGGAATCCTTGAAAAGGGCCTTCGAAAGGCTAGATTTGGACATGTCCAAAGAGGCCATGGACGACAACACGAACGACAAGCGGTTCCTCTGGGTAGCCATGACTGGATCGGGAGCGACGGTGCTGCACCTGTCGGGACTGAAGGCAACCCTGAGCACGGCCGGGGACTCCCTGGTGGTGGTCGGGACGGAGGACGGCAGGAGCAAGGTCCTCACTCCGGAGCACAACGTTGAGAACGAGAAGGAGGTCAAGAGGGTTCTTCTGGAGCATCCCGGCGAGGAAGGGTTGGTGAGGGACGGCCATCTTCTCGGGGCACTCACGGCGCTCAGGTCCTTCGGGAACTTCAGGTAACGCTTCTAAATGTTTTATTATATATAATAATGTTCCTCAAGGTAGTATCTACAGTCCCATTTTGTACACTTTTTATACAGCTGACACTCTAACTGATCCTAACACCATCATTATATGCTGATGGCACATGTGTGTTATCAGTTAATAACCTATTTAATGCATCCAAAAAGGTTCAGTCACATGTTACAAACGTTGAAGAATGGTGCTCAATTTGGAGAATTAAAATAAATCCCAACTAATTCCATTTGGACTTCGTCTAATACCTATGACTCCATGTCATACTGTGTCATTTAACAATATTCCACTCCCTGTTGAATATATCTGCTACTTATAAATGAATATATGAATATCTGCTACCTAGGCCTTCTTCTAGACAAACATCTTATCTGGAATCATAATAGAAGACTATCCAAGGTATGGCGTTTGGCGCGAAAATTCCAACGCCCTTTAGGGAATTGTGATCTCCAATAATCATGGAGAACTCAGTTCGCTTCCAATTGAGAATGGACCAATGTTGTTTCCACTCTCCAATGTCATTCTTTTCCATTTGGATGGATCTTCTGCGATTCTTCCTTGGAGATTTTCTCTAAACGACTTACTGAGAACAGATTTCTCTTAGAACATACTTTGTCTTTTCTTCTCGCTGGTGTATTTCTCATTATTATTATTTTAGTGCATACCCTATTCCATTAGAACTGTTTAATTCAGCAGACCCATCATTACTCGTTCTTCCAACGTGGAGAACTGTATTGGATATTCTTGTTCTGTGGCAGGTACAAGTGGGACAAGGACATGATCACCAGGTTCCTGGTTCCACACTACGGGGAGAGCGTCGTACCCGAGCGCAGCCTGACTCCCCCCTACATCACCGCCAGCCCGGACATCGGCAGTTACACCATCTGTCCTGAGGACAAGTTCATTGTGATCGCGTCCGATGGCATCTGGGACATCTTCCCTCCGGAGAAGGTAAGGAATCCTTTCTGTCATATATTTACTTTCTTATCAAACAGGACTGTTAACAACTGTTAAGGCCTATTTACACGATCAAGTTTCTCGACCAAAGCGTTGTCCTAGAAATTTTAGTTAAGTACTTTGGTTTTCAAACATCTTTTCCTTGCAACTTTACTTCGAGCATTGCCGTCTTCAGTATCTTTGAATCTAAAAATTTATGAATGAATTACCATTTCCATTAATTAAAAAAAAAAAGTTCTAGTTCCGGTTTGCTATCAGATCCAAGCTTTCAAGATCACTGTTAAGCTCCCTATTAGTTTAAATCAACTTCGAATGAAGCCTAACTATTATTCAAATTAAGTCGATTGTAATTTTAAAGAAAGTGGACTGTATTATAAAAACATAAAAAATAAAATCAAATCAATTTTACATTGGTATCAATGGATACAATAAAGTAATAACTCCTAAAATAAAAATAACCATAAGCTGAATACAATGCTAATAATAATTATGAGATATCTAATAAAATAGTTCGATGTTTGATTATGGAAAAATTAACAAATATATATTAACCTAATGTAGGAATTATACAAAACTAAACGAAAACAAAACAATAAAAGTTGAACAAGTTTACGAGGTCGCAAGCAGGTGACGTAGATATGGACGAACCGCTGGCACTCCAATCCTTCTTCAGTGATTGAACGTAGGTTCAATATAAGCGGCGAGCACGACGAGAGAAGTACGTCTCTTCAGAGTAGAACTGCAGTGGGCAATGTTGAAGTTGGCAGTACTCAGCTCAGTGGCCGGCGGAGTCAGACTGTCTCTTGTCAATTCTACCGCCTTAGGACTTGTTTATAGCTAGGGCTACAATCGATAACAATTTAAGTATAAACTTTTTGAATATAAACAAAATAAATAATGGGCCTAAGAATATATATATATATATATATATATATATATATATATATATATATATATATATATATATATATATATATATATATATATATATATAATTATTAATTATTAATCAGGAAATCAAGAAATGAGGAAATAATTCTGTGCCGCCTCCGAATTGGGCACTGCGAATTTTCACACGGTTACTTAATCCACGGTCGAGAGCCAACTACCTACGTCAGATGTGGTTCCCGAGAACTGTGAACCACATACTCGTGAATTGAGAATACTATGCAGCCATCAAAATCTCAACCTACACAGTACTCTTCAGGAAGTATTACAAGATACTGAGGAAGATGTAGAAGCTCTGATGGGCTTTTTGAAAAAAACGGGATTCTACAATTTAATATAGGAGACTGGAGTGAAGAAAGAATTGCCAATGACCCTATCGGGTAGAGGCAAATTCAGATAATAAATAGATTATTAATTGGTTTCATATTATGAGACAAACCAAAATAACAATTAACCAAATATTGTTGATAATAAAAAATAAAATAAATTAACGCTGCGCGTTAACAATAACACACAGCAAGAAGGCGGTCTGTTTCAAAATCACCTAGATCATGAAGGTAACCGGTTTCAAGATCACCCAGAACATGCTTCTCATAGATTCCGGATAATACCCGAATGCATTCGAAGACGAAGCGGGCCGATTTCCAACTCCTAAACATCGGCTATTAGAATCTTTAAATTCATATTATAGTTCGTTTCTGATGATATTTTTTAAGCAATCTTAGAATATTATTAATATTCTGATATAAAATCATGCTAAAAGCACCGCCATTTGTTCTCACCCATGTTATAATGGCTAGAATTTAATACCCTTTTGGCCTGGTACTTTATTATATTTCTCAAGTTCTTTTTCGACTTGATCCTGATCGACTGTTATTTTATTTCCATCCCTTTATATTGGCAACTTTTCTTCCATGGTTTTCTGCCATCATTAATCAAATCATTGAATAAATGAATGCTACTAAACATATAGCCAGTAGTATTTATGAATGGTAAAAACTCGTTAGAACATAGGACCCTAATAGGTTTAACTATAAAGCTCTATTTGAGCAGAAATAAATATCTGTGCACCGCAGGTAGACACCACTTCCATTTTTTTTTTTTTTTATTAAATAATTTAGTAACTGAGAAATAAATTTTAATAGCTCAAAGTTATGGATAATTGGCTCCCCAAACTAATATAAAAAGAGATATATTGTTCTTTACATCCGGGATAGAAATATTTAATTAGAGTAGTATATCATGGTAAGCGAAAGTTGTGTGATGAACGCATCATTCCCCTTTCCTTTCCTACTCTTGAATCTGTTCATAGTTCTGAAATCAGTAGACAAAGAATAGCCATCTTTGGTGAAGACCAAGAGGTTAGGATGCTGGAGTATTAATTTCCGATGGTTTCGGAAGAAATAATGATTTTGGCCGTATGGCTATGTCTAAAAAATATCAATAACAGTAATATCTACTTTTTCCTGATTTGTAAAGCATTGGACTGTTCTTTAATATGAGTCTAGTGTTCTATATTCTTCGAGAGTTCCATGATAGTTAGTATTTTTAATTTTCTGAATTACTATTCTTATGTTATTTTACAATTCCATTTTTAAAAAAAACTTTTGTATAATTTTTACTTTGCTACCTATATATACTTTTATACTTCCTTTATTGAATATTAATACATTCTGCCACATTGATGGGCATTAATATTAAGGCTACATGATTCATTCACACAATATGTACATACAATTAATATCAATAATAAAGAAAAAGAAATATAAACAAAAATAAAATAAGTAAATTGGTATGTCTGTGTACAAAAAAAAAAAAAAATGAATATAATAGATAAAATTAAAGTAAATAAATCACATTTACACCTATGTACAATATTTACATTCGCCCAGGGGACTCTGAGTCATGCCTTATTCCCCGACGTGGAAGCCAAACTACCTATACATATAAATATTGAGGACGCAGTCTTATTTAATTTTTTTTTTATTTTAGCCAACGTTTCAACCCAAACATGTGGGTCATCTTCAGGGCTGAAAATGTTTTTTTTTTAATTACAATCAGAGATATAATAGTATACGACCGCTAATTATAAATAATGAACTATAGTGATTGATGGCACATGAGTCTTAACTAATATTGTAATGCACATATTAAAATAGTTATACAAATTAAAAATAAAAAATAATGTATATAATCCATTTATATAAATTTGTAATATTTTCTCTTACTAACCGTGCTATCATTTCCATTTTCGTTTTTCGGCGAATATGAATATGATCCATATTACAGCCAATGATAATCTCGCAATTTCATTTTAGCAAACTTTACGATGGAAAATAACACTTTAATAACTAATAGTCCTACAATCTATAATCATTTAATGGTTAAATATTCAGATGTATTTTCAACACTCTAGGTATATATGAGCCTTTCGGTTGACAAAATGACTAACCCCAATTTCAACATTCTTTATTATTAATTTTAGTGATGTTTCTCGTGACAAAATTTATACCTTTATTCTTTTTCTTCTTTTTCTACCTCTTTAGTGCCATCAGAGTGGAGAAACAGCCTCGGCCCATCTCGTCCACTGATTTCTGTCACTGGCCCTCCTCCTCATATCCACCATGGTGCTACCTCCGCTTCGTCCGAGTAAGTAGTTTCAATGAGATTGCCTGGGCCTACCTCGATGTTCTCTTCCCTCTGGTTTTGCTTCTAGGAACCATTTTGCCTATCGCCTATCAACCATCCGGTACACAGAACCAAACCATTTCAGTTGGCGCTCCTCCATGTCTTGTTTTTCAGGCATTATATTCGGTTTTCTCGTTCCTCCACCGATCTCTTCGGGTTTTCTCAAGAATTCTCCTGAGGTATCTCTTTTCTTCATCTTTTACTTTACTTGCATGTTTGTCCAGGACCGTCCAACTCTCTGTACCATACAAAAGGACAGACAGAAATACTATTTTTGTTTTCTTCTTTACCTCCTGTTTTCCTAATATTGTTGTGCGGATAGAGAAAAACACACCATTGGCCTTCTTAACTCTATTTAAAACCTCCTGTTCGATCCTTCCATCGTGCTCAAGTACTGGTAGTTATCTACCATTTCTAATGTCTCATTATTACATTTTATGAGAACTTGGTCTTCCACAGCCGACGAACATCACCTTATTTTTTGTAGGGTTTATTTCCATTCCCTACCAATATAGGTGCATATTTGATTTGAAATAAATTAAATTTATTAATTAAGTGGTGTAAACTACTGGTACACTGATGTCTACTATTGGTTAAACAACATGTTCTCGAAAATTATCTAAAAAACGACCTAAATATCAATGTTTAAGTTATCTCAGAAGGAATTTAGGTCACATAAGAATGTTGTTGGACAAATATAGCAAAAAAAAGGAAGCTTGAGAAGAATCTAACAAGTTTCATTTAAAATTATTGGAAGAGTCTCACAATAGTGTCTACTACTGGTGACTATCCTCAATATTGATAAATTAACTATAGTATATATAAATATGTAAATTGAATTGAGATAAAACCGTTGTGCCATCATTGGTTTAATCAATGAATCAAGAGACGGAAATATTTCCATCAAGATTAGAGACGGTCGGATGGATTAATGGTGGCACCAATGGGTTTAGCAATGAGTTATAAAAATATCCAAATTTTGTTTAAAAAAAAAAATAATAAAGAAAGAAAAATATGCTACGAAAACCATGAAACTATCGCGAGCCAAGCAAAACAACCCTTTTTCACATTCATGTTTGCTATGGTTTGACTAAGTTGAAAACGCGGCATTATTTATTTCGATGGAATTTTCCATTCTGAAGTTGGCGGCTTCTTAATTTCGGTTGTTAACTCATAAATTCTAAAACCTGCTAATCTTATTACGTATTCAATTTTTTTTAAACTTCCTGAACAATTTCAAAAGCTAAATATTTAAGGTTATGAAATATTTTGAAAATTGAAAAATATTTTGAAAGGCGAAATATTTTTTAAAAAATCGAGATTTGTTGAATAGGTTTTATTTTTTTTTTTTTATTGTAATAAGAAAAGTAAGTAAATAATTTAAATGCTACTTTCTGAAGATAAGAATCTATTAACTTTTTATTTAAAAGGCATTTTAAATGAATATGTTAAAACTATTAATATTTAATTGAAAATTAATATGCTTCAAAAAGAAATGCACAGTCAACTGAATATGCAGGTAAATATAGAAGCCATCATTTTCAAGGAAGATATTTCTTTTTAAAATATGTTTTTTATCAAGTTGAAATATATTAATTCTAAAATTTTGAGTTATCTGACTAAAAATATACTTAAAAAATGTGTTCCACTACTTTAAAATTTTTATTCCATTCAATCTTAAGAAAAGTGTGAAATAGAGACTGAATTATATATGCTTATTAGAAACAGAATCAATTCTATTTAAATTTCTAATAAATATATTATAATTTAGCTCTAATTTATTTGTATTTCAAATAAATTACTTATAAATTAAACGTTTATAAATAAAATAGTTATTTAGACTTTAAATAATCGAATAATAAATAAATTTTATAATAGAAATTATTTGAAAAAATTGGCATGCATTATAAAAATAATTCACAACTCACAGCAAAAAGATTTAATGATGACTTGTTCTCGAAGTTCATTATCTTTAAAACAGGCAGATTTGGAAACTGATTGAAGTAAACCACTAATTTAATAAACTTAAAAAAATCAACTATATCACATTTACAACACTATTCACACATTTAAAATAAAATACACCGGTACAGACAGAACGGCGCCAAAGTTAAACTAAAGTAATATGGCGTACAAAGATGTGCATTGATGGGCAGTGACTAATGCCAACTTGATTAGAAGAATACTGTAATCTGATTGGTCGAGATTTAGCGCCAATTCTGACCTAGGCACAGTCAGTGAAATATTGAAAATATTCAAGTTGATAAGGTCTAAAACGATGGTCAGTTTCAACATCTTTAACAGATATTTTATTATTATAAATATTATTACTTATTCAAAATTATTTATCTCTAAACTCTATTTTTTTTATGAACTATTTATTTTTAAAAATATATTAAGATAACATGATCAACAAAATATTCATTTTTTTTTTTTAAATAAAATGTTCTGTTTTAACATGTATAATAATTATATTAAAATTATTAATACCTAGCTATGTTATAAGATATTATTATATAAATATTTTTGGATTTTTAATTTGGTATATCTTCAGTACGAATGCGATTGTAATTGTAATTAAATATTTTCAAAGAACGAATACAAAATCTTTAAATATTTATAAAATCAGATATTAATGAACATTAAAACACCCTTGTTGTTTGGGCTGAATTAATAATGATGAGTGATGATTTTAATATTTAATAGTTAGCATTCGTATCGACGATATCAATAAATTTTTGATTTTTCAATATTTTATAAAATACCTACTACAATGTTTTGATTTCTGTATAACTGATGATGGAATAATGCAATGTTGGAATTATTTAAACTTTATATTACTTTCTTCTCTTATTTAAATTTATGTCTTTAACGATATCCGAAATATTTAAATAATATCTTCTAAATGTTAAATATTTTCACATTTTAACGGATTGTTAAATAATATTTCAAACATTAAAGTAATGATGCCTAGTCATTTGCTGATAAGATACAGTTACTTAAATATGTTAAATGTTCAAGTTGGTACATGAATTTTCTTACTCATTATTGGTTTAAGAATAAGTAAATTTAACTTTTCAATTTTCGTTTTTTTTTAAATCAGTTAACTATTATTTGGTTTAAATGTAATTAAATATGGAATTATAAAATACCAGAGTTTAAAAAAAAAATTATAACTATAAAAAAATTACCTATATTGATTAGAAATTATTCCAGATGCTTGTTATTAAGAGATAAGATGTTAAAACTTTACTGTTCGGTCACCTTCGTGTGCATTCGGATATATCCGGCCGTTTTCTGAATTCCGTATATAATGTGGTGAAGCATGTAAAATATTTCTAAATTTTTTGGCAGAAACAAACGAAATGAACACATCCTATTTAAATATTTAAAAAAAACTAACACTTGAAATATTTTAAAATAATAACAGCACTGGATAAATGTTAACCGAACCGAGGCCAGAACAAGACTGGCAGGCCATATCGAAGAGTGTAAACATCGCTATAGGTAATTCGATTTACGGGCTGGCGACTTTGAGGATATTAGGTTAAGGGAAGGGCTTGGAATATTGCTCTCTTATTTCAAATTATTTTCTCTTCATGTTCAGTCAGTTTTATCTTATCAATTATAAATGACCTGAAGTAGTTATAAATATTCATAGGAACATTGGCAAATATGTATGTATTTATTTATACAGTGGCCAGTAAAAGTTTTGGTTGAAAATAAAAAAAAAAAAAAAATTCTGTGCTGCATTTGTTTTTATTTAAACATCTAAGTATAACTTCAATACCACATTTATAAAGTTGATCAAACATATCTGCTTATAATGAATACATATATTTAAAAAAAAAGTTTAGGGTTTTTTTTTTTTTTTAATTGAGTATTACAACAATCTGTCTCTTGGACATTGGTTATAGTGAGGTAAGATGACATTCATACTATATGTACAAAAACAATAAAATAAATAGAAACAAAATAATAATCAAAAGTATATACAATACATAATAAAATAAAATAACCTAAAAAATAAGAACATTAAAACTAAGAAAAAAAAAAACACATGGATACCTATATACAATCAGGCGAGGGAACTCCAGGAGAACCCTGCGCTACTCTCCCAACCGTGTCACTGGTACTAAAGCCAGCGGAGATTGGAGATTGATTTAGGTATTAAGTAAGGATTTTAATGCAGAACAAGTTTTGATACATATTCATATTATGTAATAATTTATTTATTAATTTTAGTCAAAAAACTTAAATTAATGGCTTGAAAGAAGTCATTTTTATTTGAGTACTATTTTCAAGTCATTTGTGGTCAATTTCGTCAGTTTTAGATCGTAGGTTCCCTAGATAGGACAGTAGTAGATATCTCTCATTCTCATTCTTGGATTAGACCAATAGGTTTCGCTACTGTCGTGCGCTATTTAATGCTCTTTTAATTAAAGCTTGACGTTTACTTAACAATTTTAATTACATTTACGATTAGTTTAAAAGAAATCTTTAAAGGATTTATCATCAGTATTATTTATTTCATCAGTATTATTTATTTACTTCATCAGTATTATTTATTTACTTTTTATTCATCAGTATTACTTATTTACTTTTTATATTTATATTTATTTCTCTATTATTTGTATATATTGTTTGAATGAGAACTCTTAGCCCTAATATTTATAGCCCTCCAGCAGTGGCTGATTGTATTATTATTCAATAAATAGATTCTCTTAAAGGATTTAAGTGCACCTGAATCTTACTTATATACAAGCAGTAACATTTCCCAATAAGAGAAAACTATCGCTGCCATCCACTCATTAATATTATAGTTTTTTAACTGACTGCTGTAAAAAGACTAGTGTTGCCCAAAATCGGTCTTGGTCCAAGACCAACACCGCCTCTCTGTTGCAAGACCAAGACTAAGACTGCTAAAAAAAATCGATTTTTTGAATAAAATTGAAGCAAAATAGTTACTAATACATGACAATTTTAGTTAGTATATGTAAAGAATTGGTGTGAACAATATACTTTTGCATATAACTCTTCTAATTTGTCATTTAGACTTAGTGAGGTTTGTCATATCTAAAAAATTAATGTAATATCTCTCTAGTAATTAGCTAGTAGGTAACTGCAAGACTGTTACGAGAGTTTTGCGCAAGACCAAGACCTGGACCACAACTGAGTTTGCAAGACCAAGACTCGTCTCGGTCTCGCATGTGGGCAACACTAATAAAGACTTATAGAGGTGCTGGTATTTACTTTGTTGTAGGTAGTGAATATCATCCTGAACCACCAACCTGTCCATCAAGCGGTAAAGCTGTTGACGGCGCCGTACAAGAAGTTTCAACAGGTCCGCAGCATCCTCAGGAAGGAAGACTTCAAAGAGGAAGTGGAGGTCATGGACTCTCCTGCTACTCAGCTCATCCTCGAAGGCCTCATCAGCGCCACTAAACTCCTCCAACTTCCGGACAAGTTCGTCAGAAACGTCCGGGACGACATGACGGTCCTCATACTCTACATCGACCAGAACTTCGTCAAGGTCCACGCCAATGAACAAGAATCCGTCAAGTACAAGGATTCGGAATACGTCAAGTCTGAATTCATAATATGAATGTCCATTACCTCTGGTTGTTTACTAACTGGGTGTATGTAATAAAGATTTTTGCAATGTTTACTTGTAATGAGTTGTATTATAATGTATTATTACGTTGTTAAATATTGTTTGACGTTGCTAGGAGATAAACTTCATTCATTAGTTAAAAAAAAAAAAAACTATTGAAATACAGTTAACTATTATATTAGTTCAGCTGCTCAATGCCCTCCATTCATAAAACGCTGATGAAGTACAAAGTAAATTAATTAAAATGTTAATTTTTTCAGTTGGCTTGAAGGTCTTTGCCGTCTTATCCAGCCTTCCTCTCTTCTCCTTATCTTGGGATATTCCTTTCCTGTTATCTGGATGTTGCTCTACAGCAAATCTAGGAAATATTTCATATACAATATTTTAAAACACGAGAAAGAAAATACATTATTGAAATTTCATATTTTAAGAAGAAAAAAATTGTTAGCAACTATCTGTGGCACCGACCGATAGATGTTGTAATTTGGTCGGACCAAATTATAATTACTCGATATTAAACACTAAAAAAAAAAATCTGTTTTTTTTTTTTTCAAACACAATACAATATTACTGTAGAATATTTCAAAATATCCTAAGTTACAAAAAAAAAAAGAAAAAAAAAGTAAGATGTGTGCTTTAGATAGACTAAACAATAGAAGTGAAAACAGCAACCAGGCGAGATTAATGATAAGAAATATAAATTTTAAATAATAGCTCATTACAATGAGGAAGAAATGCTGAACATTTCCCTCGCTTGCAGAATGCATGTCCGATATTTAGTTTCTGAGATATTTTAATCCATATCTCCAATAAAACTCGTTATCAAGTGGTTTTCCACACTATTTCTCTCTTTTCGCCTCTCTATGTGATATACAGTGGCTCACAGTCAAAATGATACAACAGGATAATGATAGACATTTTTGACAACGGTTTAATTTTTTAACGAAAGTAAATTTAATATTTTGGTTCTTATGGACGTTCCTATGTGTAAAGGAAACCAGGAGAAGAGCTGGGAAAAAACAATTTACGCCTGACCGGGAAACATGTGTACAAATCACACATCAGTGTTATGGTGTGGGGTGTATGGCTGCTTCTGATTTAGGAAATCTTCACTTTATGGACGGCTTAAGGAATAAACATGTTAAAACAGACATTTTGAGAACAAACTTAAATAACTTTTTATCAGTATGATGAATCCAAACATTTGCCATGTTAGTTAAGCAATGGCTACTTTATAACTGTCCCAAAGTTATCAAAACTACATGATAGTCACCAGATCTCAATGTAATGTACTAAGAGTGGGAAAAATTGGAGTTAGAAATTTAAAAACACAAAATATCAAGCAAAGAAGACTTGAGGAAACTATTTCTTCGAACAATGGAACGGGCTAAGCCCAGAATTCATCAAAACATTAATCGATTCCATTAAAACGTATTGAAAGAAGTGACAAAAATTATGGCTTGCTTACAAGATATTGAACTAAATTAATAGTATTTAAGAGTTAATAAGAAGTGAGGTGTATCATTTTGACTGGGAGGTAAGATTATTCAGATTTTTTAAAAATAATCCACAAAGTCTAGTATCACAGATTTCTCTTTAAACTCAAAACTATACTCTTTCATGAATACTGCCTCATTCTTCAGTATTTCCTTTTTGAAAGATTTTTCTCTGTCCAACAGGGTTTAGAAATTTCCTCAATTCGACCATTGTCAGCATGAATGCTTTAGGGATGAATATCGACTCCGTTGCTCTACATTATCTATAACCATGACATGGCTAACATTTCCGAAACATTTACTGCTACTTACGCATGATTCAACAATTTTAACAAAAAATTATGATCCTAGACTAGCCTCACTAAATTTATAAAATCATTTACAAAATTCATATTCACATTGGAAAATTAGATTAAATCATGACATTTACACTTCGACAAGACACATGCCCACCAGTTTATATCAGAGACATCCAAATTCCTAAGACGAACACTGTACGTTACCTTGGGCTAATATTCGACAGAAGGATGACCTGGGGCGCACATGTCGAAATGAAACGAAAGACTTCGAACAAGCGACTGAAAATACTGTACTCCCTTTTTTCCAAATCTAAATTGCAAATTAGACAAAAATTAAATAAATACAGTTACCTGCTCAAACCCATCTGAACACAGACGCCTCATAGATTTACGGTTCAGCAAAAAGACTCAGTTATAAAAACTACAATATTTTCAATCTAAAATTTTACGACTTATAACAGGAGTGACCTGGTACGTCAACAACAAAACTTTACATAACGATTTACGACAACACATACGTACTCTCTACTCTCGTTTTCATCTGAAACTACACGGACACACAAACGGACTTATAAACGACATGGCTACGACTGACATGCCCATCAAGAGGAGACTAAAATAGAGCTGGATGAGAGATCTCCTCACCTAAATCAAGAAAGTAAATAATGACCAGGAAGAGGTACTTTTGTGTGCTTCCCTTTCTCATGCATATAATGTCGATCCTTATTTATTACAACACATCTGCTTATTGTCCATACCATGACAGGTGCGGATAAATATATGAAGAAAAAAAAATAAGACTAATAACTGCAGCCGTCTGGTATGCAAATAACAAAACTTTACCGACCTAAGACAACCACCTATTGACCAACAAATATGTACTTTATACTCTCGATTTCCTCTTAAGCTACACGGACATCACAACGGACTTATCAATGACATGGCCACAGCTGACATGCGCTCATAAGGAGGCGACTGAAAAGGAGCTGGACAGATCTCCTTTCCTGATTTAAGGAGGTAAACAGACCAGGGAAGAGATGCTGCTGGATACTATTCTTCATCATGGCTATCATACCATTTTGTACCGTAAACAACGAATCTGCTAATTATCGCTATCATGACAGGTGCGGATGGTGATTTGAAGATAAAATATATACACATATATATATATATATATATATATATATATATATATATATATATATATATATATATATATATAATAGAATAGAAAATAATTTTATTCTGGGAGGAAGTCCCTTTAGAATAACAAAAAATTACAAAATTAAAATGTAAAATCTGACTTAATAAAAACAACCGTAAAAAGTAAAGATAAAGATAAACCAGTAAAGAAAATATTAGTTATAGATACTATATACAAAATAAAATAAAATAAATCTATATACAAAACTCTTGAAACATTTCCAAGACACTTAAAACTGTGTACAATGATAAAATATAAATATACACTTTTAGAAAAAATAAAAAATGCATTACATTCTTCTCAGCAGTAAACTCTGTGTTTCTGTTGAAAAAAAAAAAGAAAGTCGAATCTGATAATAAGTATTTAAGTTATGAGTTATATGTAAATACATTATTATGAATAATATGTACTTTTACATAAAAGGTTAGCGGGTATCTCACTGTTTTTGGGACAGGAATTGGAATAGGAGGGTTTTGAATGTAGATGAAGAATGCCGAATTTTGATAGGAAGGAAATTCTAAAAATTAACAGAGCGAGCAATAAAGGAGTTTTGGAACGAGGCAGATTTAAGAGAAGGAATGTAAAAGTCGGAAGGTCGAGATCTTGTGGAAAGGGAGTGGGCTGAGGACTTGAATTGGAGAAGGTTGTAGGCGTAGGAAGGGTCCACAGTTGAATATTTTAATGTTATTGAGTTAGTAAATGTTTAAACTGAGACGATGAATAAATATTTTGAAGAATTTCTGGTATTATTTGGTTACTGTAACCGTTTAAGATTATTTTTTTAATTTCAATACTGAGTGTATCAATTTCACTGTGAGCCAGTTATATACCACCAATTAAGGAAGAGATTGTGACCTAGAGAAGAAAAGAGGGAACTGAGAAAGTGAGAACGGAGGATTGATAAGGAGTGCAGTTGCACTGATAACAGCTACCTGAGTGGGAGGTACCGGCTAGGTGGGGACCGCTCGGTTCCTCAGTCTGTGCTTGTGTGCTCAGGGGTGAGTGTGTCTCTATCGTTGGAGCTAGTGTAGGATCGACAATATATATACGGTATGTACTCTACGTATATATATATATACATATACATACATTTATATATTATATATAGTCTCGTCCACAGTGTCACCTGTGGGATTATGTAAAATAGAATAGAAAATTGAACTTAAAATAACAATGATGAATTCTTATAGGCTCTTTACCGGCTTAATTTTAGATCGAATTAGCAGCGGTTCGAATATTTAATTTTTGAAGGAATTTTTATTAATTAATTTTTGACTGTTATTATTCTGAAAAAAATAAAGAGAATATTTAAAAATGTTTTGGCTTCCTGTCAAAAAACAAAACAAAAAAAAAAAAACTGTTTATAGGAACAATAACGCTTTTTGAATATTTTTTTTCTTGATTGGTGCTTACATTTAGTAACTGAAGTACACGTGTCATAATTTAATAAAATTCCAGATAATTTTTTTTTTTTTTTTTGTTTAAGTGTTTCGCTGAGTACTCATAGAAACAATGTGGGCCAATTAAAAATTAAATTTTGATAGGCATCAGTCCTAAAAAAAACCAAAAAAAAACCTCCATCCCCCTCCATCGTGGATCCAATCAATATGTACAAATGATAACATTTATGTAAACATTGTAATTTTGGTTCAACTTTTTAATCTACTTCCCACATACAGTAACCCCGTACGCGAGGGACTTATGTTTGTTAATTTATACATGCTTCATGTATTAAGCACAATACATGTATTAGTTTAAGCATATATATTAAATAGTTCTTCTTATTTTTCTTTTTTTATTAGGAAGCTTACGTTTGTAATTTTTTTCATATTTTAGGCAATAATAGAGATGTTGGTTAGTGTATCAATGAATATGTGTAACAACAAAAAATAGTTTTTAAAATATGTGACAAATATTAAATTGTTGACAAATGGTGCCACATCAAAAAAAGAAAGTAAAAATAAAGATTTTTACTTCATAAAGATGATGAGAAAATCGTCCCGAAACGTAAGAGACAACAAACATAATTAAAAAAATATGATGAAAATTGGAAGTTTTATTGCCTTAAATATAAATAAA